TGGACGGTGGTTGTTGTTGGATGGTGGTTGTTGGATGGTGGTTGTTGTTGGATGGTGGTTGTTGGAGGGTGGTTGTTGTTGGATGGTTGTTGTTGGATGGTTGTTGTTGGACGATGGTTGTTGTTGGACGGTGGTCGTTGTTGTTGGGTGTTTGTTGATGGATGGTTGTTGTTGTTGGATGGTGGTTGTTGTTGGATGGTGGTTGTTGGACGGTTGTTGTTGGACGGTTGTTGTTGGACGGTGGTTGGTGTTGGACGATGGTTGTTGTTGGACAGTGGTTGTTGTTTGACACGGTGGTTGTTGTTGGAGGGTGGTTGTTATTGGATGGTTGTTGTTGGACGATGGTTGTTGTTGGATGGTGGTCGTTGTTGTTGGGTGTTTGTTGATGGATGGTTGTTGTTGTTGGATGGTGGTTGTTGGACGGTTGTTGTTGGACGGTTGTTGTTGGACGGTGGTTGGTGTTTGACGATGGTTGTTGTTGGACAGTGGTTGTTGTTTGACGGTGGTTGTTGTTGGATGGTGGTTGTTGTTGGACGGTGGTTGTTGGACGGTGGTTGTTATTGGACGGTGGTTGTTGTTGGATGGTGGTTGTTGGACGGTGGTTGTTGTTGGACGGTGGTTGTTGTTGGACGGTGGTTGTTGTTGGGCGGTGGTTGTTGTTGGACGATGGTTGTTGTTGGACGGTGGTTGTTATTGGACGGTGGTTGTTATTGGACGGTGGTTGTTATTGGACGGTGGTTGTTGTTGGATGGTGGTTGTTGTTGGACGGTGGCTGGTGTTGGACGATGGTTGTTGTTGGACGGTGGTTGTTGTTGGATGGTTGTTGTTGGATGGTGGTTGTTGCACGGTGGTTGTTGTTGGATGGTGGTTGTTGTTGGATGGTGGTTGTTGTTGGACGGTGGTTGTTGTTGGATGGTGGTTGTTGTTGGATGGTGGTTGTTGGACGGTGGTTGTTGTTGGATGGTTGTTGTTGGACAGTGGTTGGTTTTGGACGATGGTTGTTGTTGGACGGTGGTTGTTGTTGGACGGTGGTTGTTGTTGGACGGTGGTTGTTGTTGGATGGTGGTTGTTGGATGGTGGTTGTTGTTGGATGGTTGTTGTTGGACGGTGGTTGTTGTTGGATGGTGGTTGTTGGACGGTGGTTGTTGTTGGATGGTTGTTGTTGGATGGTGGTTGTTGTTGGATGGTGGTTGTTATTGGAGGGTAGTTGTTGTTGGATGGTGGTTGTTGGACGGTGGTTGTTGTTGAATGGTTGTTGTTGGACGGTGGTTGTTGTTGGATGGTGGTTGTTGGACGGTGGTTGTTGTTGGATGGTTGTTGTTGGATGGTGGTTGTTGTTGGATGGTGGTTGGTGGACGGTGGTTGTTGGACGGTGGTTGTTGGACGGTGGTTGTTGGACGGTGGTTGTTGTTGGATGGTTGTTGTTGGACGATGGTTGTTGTTGGATGGTGGTTGTTGTTGGACGGTGGTTGTTGGAGGGTGGTTGTTGTTGGATGGTGGTTGTTGGATGGTGGTTGTTGTTGGATGGTTGTTGTTGGAGGGTGGTTGTTGTTGGATGGTTGTTGTTGGACGATGGTTGTTGTTGGACGGTGGTTGTTGTTGGATGGTGGTTGTTGATGGATGGTTGTTGTTGTTGGATGGTGGTTGTTGTTGGACAGTGGTTGTTGGACGGTTGTTGTTGGACGGTTGTTGTTGGATGGTTGTTGTTGGATGGTTGTTGTTGGACGATGGTTGTTGTTGGATGGTGGTTGTTGTTGGACGTGGTTGTTGGAGGGTGGTTGTTGTTGGATGGTGGTTGTTGGATGTTGTTGTTGTTGTTGTGGGTGGTTGTTGTTGGATGGTTGTTGTTGGACGATGGTTGTTGTTGGACGGTGGTTGTTGTTGGATGGTGGTTGTTGATGGATGGTTGTTGTTGTTGGATGGTGGTTGTTGTTGGACGGTGGTTGTTGGATGGTTGTTGTTGGACGGTTGTTGTTGGATGGTTGTTGTTGGATGGTTGTCGTTGGATGGTGGTTGTTGGACGGTGGTTGTTGTTCGATGGTGGTTGTTGGAGGGTGGTTGTTGTTGGATGGTTGTTGTTGGATGGTTGTTGTTGGACGATGGTTGTTGTTGGACGGTGGTCGTTGTTGTTGGGTGTTTGTTGATGGATGGTTGTTGTTGTTGGATGGTGGTTGTTGTTGGATGGTGGTTGTTGGACGGTTGTTGTTGGACGGTGGTTGGTGTTGGACGATGGTTGTTGTTGGACAGTGGTTGTTGTTTGACGGTGGTTGTTGTTGGAGGGTGGTTGTTGTTGGATGGTTGTTGTTGGACGATGGTTGTTGTTGGATGGTGGTCGTTGTTGTTGGGTGTTTGTTGATGGATGGTTGTTGTTGTTGGATGGTGGTTGTTGTTGGATGGTGGTTGTTGGACGGTTGTTGTTGGACGGTGGTTGGTGTTTGACGATGTTTGTTGTTGGACAGTGGTTGTTGTTTGACGGTGGTTGTTGTTGGATGGTGGTTGTTGTTGGACGGTGGTTGTTGGACGGTGGTTGTTATTGGACGGTGGTTGTTGTTGGATGGTGGTTGTTGGACGGTGGTTGTTGTTGGATGGTTGTTGTTGGGCGGTGGTTGTTGTTGGACGATGGTTGTTGTTGGACGGTTGTTGTTATTGGACGGTGGTTGTTATTGGACGGTGGTTGTTATTGGACGGTGGTTGTTGTTGGATGGTGGTTGTTGTTGGACGGTGGCTGGTGTTGGACGATGGTTGTTGTTGGACGGTGGTTGTTGTTGGATGGTTGTTGTTGGATGGTGGTTGTTGGACGGTGGTTGTTGTTGGATGGTGGTTGTTGTTGGATGGTGGTTGTTGTTGGACGGTGGTTGTTGGACGGTGGTTGTTGTTGGATGGTGGTTGTTGTTGGACGGTGGTTGTTGGACGGTGGTTGTTGTTGGATGGTTGTTGTTGGACAGTGGTTGGTTTTGGACGATGGTTGTTGTTGGACGGTGGTTGTTGTTGGACGGTGGTTGTTGTTGGATGGTGGTTGTTGGATGGTGGTTGTTGTTGGATGGTTGTTGTTGGACGGTGGTTGTTGTTGGATGGTGGTTGTTGGACGGTGGTTGTTGTTGGATGGTGGTTGTTGTTGGATGGTGGTTGTTGTTGGAGGGTAGTTGTTGTTGGATGGTGGTTGTTAGACGGTGGTTGTTGTTGAATGGTTGTTGTTGGACGGTGGTTGTTGTTGGATGGTGGTTGTTGGACGGTGGTTGTTGTTGGATGGTTGTTGTTGGATGGTGGTTGTTGTTGGATGGTGGTTGTTGTTGGACGGTGGTTGTTGGACGGTGGTTGTTGGACGGTGGTTGTTGTTGGATGGTTGTTGTTGGACGATGGTTGTTGTTGGATGGTGGTTGTTGTTGGACGGTGGTTGTTGGAGGGTGGTTGTTGTTGGATGGTTGTTGTTGGACGATGGTTGTTGTTGGTCGGTGGTTGTTGTTGGATGGTGGTTGTTGGATGGTGGTTGTTGTTGGATGGTTGTTGTTGGAGGGTGGTTGTTGTTGGATGGTTGTTGTTGGACGATGGTTGTTGTTGGACGGTGGTTGTTGTTGGATGGTGGTTGTTGATGGATGGTTGTTGTTGTTGGATGGTGGTTGTTGTTGGACGGTGGTTGTTGGACAGTTGTTGTTGGACGGTTGTTGTTGGATGGTTGTTGTTGGATGGTTGTCGTTGGATGGTGGTTGTTGGACGGTGGTTGTTGTTGGATGGTGGTTGTTGTTGGATGGTGGTTGTTGTTGGATGGTTGTTGTTGGATGGTTGTCGTTGGATGGTGGTTGTTGGACGGTGGTTGTTGTTGGATGGTGGTTGTTGTTGGATGGTGGTTGTTGTTGGACGGTGGTTGTTGGACGGTGGTTGTTGTTGGATGGTGGTTGTTGTTGGACGGTGGTTGTTGGACGGTGGTTGTTGTTGGATGGTGGTTGTTGGACAGTGGTTGGTTTTGGACGATGGTTGTTGTTGGACGGTGGTTGTTGTTGGACGGTGGTTGTTGTTGGACGGTGGTTGTTGTGGACGGTGGTTGTTGTTGGATGGTGGTTGTTGGACGGTGGTTGTTGTTGGATGGTTGTTGGATGGTTGTTGTTGGATGGTTGTTGTTGGACGGTGGTTGGTGTTGGACGATGGTTGTTGTTGGACGGTGGTTGTTGTTGGACGGTGGTTGTTGTTGGATGGTGGTTATTGGACGGTGGTTGTTGTTGGATGGTGGTTATTGGACGGTGGTTGTTGTTGGGCGGTGGTTGTTGTTGGACGATGGTTGTTGTTGGACGATGGTTGTTGTTGGACGATGGTTGTTGTTGGACGGTGGTTTTTGTTGGACGTTGGTTGTTGTTGGATGGTTGTTGTTGGATGGTTGTTGTTGGACGGTGGTTGTTGTTGGATGGTGGTTGTTGTTGGACGGTGGCTGGTGTTGGACGATGGCCCCTGGAAGACTGGCACGTTTGTATCGGCTCTAAAACTAGAACTCATGGTACCAAAACCAGAGACACGTCCCTGTGATCCCAGAGACACGTCCCTGTGATCCCAGAGACACGTTCCTGTGATCCCAGAGACACGTCCCTGTGATCCCAGAGACACGTCCCTGTGAGCCCAGAGACACGTTCCTGTGATCCCAGAGACACGTCCCTGTGAGCCCAGAGACACGTTCCTGTGATCCCAGAGACACGTCCCTGTGATCCCAGAGAGACGTCCCTGTGATCCCAGAGAGAGGTCCCTGTGATCCCAGAGACACGTCCCTGTGAGCCCAGAGACACGTCCCTGTGATCCCAGAGAGACGTCCCTGTGAGCCCAGAGACACGTCCCTGTGATCCCAGAGACACGTCCCTGTGATCCCAGAGACACGTCCCTGTGAGCCCAGAGACACATCCCCGTGATTCCAGAGACACGTCCCTGTGATCCCAGAGACACATCCCTTTTAGCCCAGAGAGACGTCCCTGTGATCCCAGAGACACGTCCCTGTGAGCCCAGAGAGAGACGTCCCTGTAAGCCCAGAGACACGTCCCTGTGAGCCCAGAGACACGTCCCTGTGAGCCCAGAGACACGTCCCTGTGAGCCCAGACACACGTCCCTGTGATCCCAGAGACACGTCCCTGTGATCCCAGAGACACGTCCCTGTGAGCCCAGAGACACGTCCCTGTGAGCCCAGAGAGAGACGTCCCTGTGAGCCCAGAGACACGTCCCTGTGAGCCCAGAGAGAGACGTCCCTGTGAGCCCAGAGACACGTACCTGTGAGTCCAGAGAGAGACGTCCCTGTGAGACTAGAGAGACGTCCCTGTGATCCAAGAGAGACGTCCCTGTGATCCAAGAGAGACGTCCCTGTGAGCCCAGAGAGGGACATCCCTGTGAGCTCAGAGACACGTCCCTGTGAGCCCAGAGACACGTCCCTGTGAGCCCAGAGACACATCCCTGTGAGCCCAGACACACGTCCCTGTGATCCCAGAGACACGTCCCTGTGATCCGAGAGACACGTCCCTGTGAGCCCAGAGAGAGACGTCCCTGTGAGCCCAGAGACACGTCCCTGTGAGCCCAGAGAGAGACGTCTCTGTGAGCCCAGAGACACGTACCTGTGAGTCCAGAGAGAGACGTCCCTGTGAGACTAGAGAGACGTCCCTGTGATCCAAGAGAGACGTCCCTGTGATCCAAGAGAGACGTCCCTGTGAGCCCAGAGAGGGACATCCCTGTGAGCTCAGAGACACGTCCCTGTGAGCCCAGAGACACGTCCCTGTGAGCCCAGAGACACGTCCCTGTGAGCTCAGAGAGGCGTCCCTGTGAGCCCAGAGAGAGACGTCCCTGTGAACCCAGAGACACGTCCCTGTAAGCTCAGAGAGACGTCCCTGTGAGCCCAGAGAGACGTCCCTGTGAGCCCAGAGAGACGTCCCTGTGAGCTCAGAGAGACGTCCCTGTGAGCCCAGAGAGAGACGTCCCTGTGAGCCCAGAGACACGTCCCTGTGATCCCAGAGACACGTCCCTGTGATCCCAGAGACACGTCCCTGTGAGCCCAGAGAGAGACGTCCCTGTGAGCCCAGAGAGAGACGTCCCTGTGAGCCCAGAGACACATCCCTGTGAGCCCAGAGAGAGACGTCCCTGTGAGCCCAGAGAGAGACGTCCCTGTGAGCTCAGAGACACGTACCTGTGAGCCCAGAGACACGTCCCTGTGAGCCCAGAGAGACGTCCCTGTGAGCCCAGAGAGAGACATCCCTGTGAGCTCAGAGACACGTCCCTGTGAGCCCAGAGACACGTCCCTGTGAGCCCAGAGAGACGTCCCTGTGATCCCAGAGACACGTCCCTGTGATCCCAGAGACACGTCCCTGTGAGCCCAGAGACACGTCCCTGTGAGCCCAGAGACACGTCCCTGTGATCCCAGAGACACGTCCCTGTGATCCCAGAGACACGTCTCTGTGAGCCCAGAGACACGTCCCTGTGAGCCCAGAGACACGTCCCTGTGAGCCCAGAGAGACGTCCCTGTGATCCCAGAGACACGTCCCTGTGATCCCAGAGACACGTCCCTGTGAGCCCAGAGAGACGTCCCTGTGATCCCAGAGACACGTCCCTGTGATCCCAGAGACACGTCCCTGTGAGCCCAGAGACACATACCTGTGAGTCCAGAGAGAGACGTCCCTGTGAGACTAGAGAGACGTCCCTGTGATCCAAGAGAGACGTCCCTGTGATCCAAGAGAGACGTCCCTGTGAGCCCAGAGAGGGACATCCCTGTGAGCTCAGAGACACGTCCCTGTGAGCCCAGAGACACGTCCCTGTGAGCCCAGAGACACGTCCCTGTGAGCTCAGAGAGACGTCCCTGTGAGCCCAGAGAGAGACGTCCCTGTGAACCCAGAGACACGTCCCTGTAAGCCCAGAGAGACGTCCCTGTGAGCCCAGAGAGACGTCCCTGTGAGCCCAGAGAGACGTCCCTGTGAGCTCAGAGAGACGTCCCTGTGAGCCCAGAGAGAGACGTCCCTGTGAACCCAGAGACACGTCCCTGTAAGCTCAGAGAGACGTCCCTGTGAGCCCAGAGAGACGTCCCTGTGAGCCCAGAGAGACGTCCCTGTGAGCCCAGAGAGACGTCCCTGTGAGCCCAGAGAGAGACGTCCCTGTGAGCCCAGAGAGAGACGTCCCTGTGATCCCAGAGACACGACCCTGTGATCCCAGAGACACGTCCCTGTGAACCCAGAGACACGTCCCTGTAAGCTCAGAGAGACGTCCCTGTGAGCCCAGAGAGACGTCCCTGTGAGCCCAGAGAGAGACGTCCCTGTGAGCCCAGAGAGAGACGTCCCTGTGATCCCAGAGACACGACCCTGTGATCCCAGAGACATGTCCCTGTGATCCCAGAGACACGTCCCTGTGAGCCCAGAGACACGTCCCTGTGAGCCCAGAGAGAGACATCCCTGTGAGCTCAGAGACACGTCCCTGTGAGCCCAGAGACACGTCCCTGTGAGCCCAGAGAGACGTCCCTGTGATCCCAGAGACACGTCCCTGTGATCCCAGAGACACGTCCCTGTGAGCCCAGAGACACGTCCCTGTGAGCCCAGAGACACGTCCCTGTGAGCCCAGAGACACGTCCCTGTGAGCCCAGAGAGACGTCCCTGTGAGCCCAGAGAGACGTCCCTGTGAGCCCAGAGACACGTCCCTGTGAGCCCAGAGAGACGTCCCTGTGAGCCCAGAGAGACGTCCCTGTGAGCCGAGAGAGAGACGTCCCTGTGATCCCAGAGAGACGTCCCTGTAAGCTCAGAGAGACGTCCCTGTGAGCCCAGAGAGACGTCCCTGTGAGCCCAGAGAGACGTCCCTGTGAGCCCAGAGAGACGTCCCTGTGAGCCCGAGAGAGAGACGTCCCTGTGAGCCCAGAGACATGTCCCTGTGATCCCAGAGACACGTCCCTGTGAGCCCAGAGAGAGACATCCCTGTGAGCTCAGAGACACGTCCCTGTGAGCCCAGAGACACGTCCCTGTGAGCCCAGAGAGACGTCCCTGTGATCCCAGAGACACGTCCCTGTGATCCCAGAGACACGTCCCTGTGAGCCCAGAGACACGTCCCTGTGAGCCCAGAGACACGTCCCTGTGAGCCCAGAGAGACGTCCCTGTGAGCCCAGAGAGACGTCCCTATGAGCCCAGAGAGAGACGTCCCTGTGATCCCAGAGATGTCCCTGTGATCCCAGAGAGAGACATCCCTGTGAGCTCAGAGACACGTCCCTGTGAGCCCAGAGAAACGTCCCTGTGAGCCCAGAGAGAGACGTCCCTGTGATCCCTGCACCTGCGGACTGCCCCGCCCGACCCGCCTGGGAGTGCTTCAGTCCTGCACCGGACCTGTCCACGTTCAGCGGCCACTGGTCCACGTCCTGTAGCTAGCTTAAGTCCTGGATCATTAGTCTGTCCGTCCGGAGGAGCGGATCCCTTTCTCATATGGGTCTCCCTCCCTGTGGGATTCTCTAGTGCTCCCCAAGGTTTCTCACTTTTTCCCACTGGGTTTTTTAAGAGTTTTTCCTTGTCGATGCAGGAGGGTCTTGTTGGACAGTTAGTGTCCAACAGAAAGGATTGGTGATGATCAGGACACTTTAGCATTCTACAACATGTATGGACATTTTCTTCTGTGTGTGCTTTATATTCTTCATGTGTTTTAACTGTTGATTCTCTGACCTGTGTTGGTGATTTCAATGGTTTTGTTAAGTCTCTGAGATGACTTCTGTTGTGACCTAGGGCTATACAAGAATACATTGTATTGTATCCCAGAGACACGTCCCTGTGACCCCAGAGAGGGACATCCCTGTGAATTTAGAGACACGTCCCTGTGAGCCCAGAGACACGTCCCTGTGAGCCCAGAGAGAGACATCCCTGTGAGCTCAGAGACACGTCCCTGTGAGCCCAGAGACACGTCCCTGTGAGCCCAGAGAGAGACATCCCTGTGAGCTCAGAGACACGTCCCTGTGAGCCCAGAGACACGTCCCTGTGAGCCCAGAGACATGTCCCTGTGAGCCTAGAGACACCTCCCTGTGAGCCCAGAGACACGTCCCTGTGAGCCCAGAGAGAGACATCCCTGTGAGCTCAGAGACACGTCCCTGTGAGCCCAGAGACACGTCCCTCTGAGCCCAGAGACATGTCCCTGTGAGCCTAGAGACACCTCCCTGTGAGCCCAGAGACACGTCCCTGTGAGCCCAGAGACATCTCCCTGTGAGCCCAGAGACACGTCCCTGTGAGCCTGGAGACAAGTCCCTGTGAGCCCAGAGACACGTCCCTGTGAGCCCAGAGACACCTCCCTGTGAGCCCAGAAAGAGACGTCCCTGTGACCCCAGAGAGACATCCCTGTGGGCCCAAAGAGACATCCCTCTGAGCTCAGAAACACGTCCCTGTGAGCCCAGAGAGAGACGTGCCTGTGAGCCCAGAGACACCTCCCTGTGAGCCCAGAGACACGTCCCTGTGAGCCCAGAGAGACGTCCCTGTGAGCCCAGAGACATCTCCCTGTGAGCCCAGAGACACGTCCCTGTGAGCCCAGAGACACCTCCCTGTGAGCCCAGAGAGAGACGTGCCTGTGATCCCAGAGAGACGTTCCTGTGAGCTCAGAGAGACGTCCCTGTGAGCCCAGAGAGACGTCTCTGTGAGCCCAGAGAGACGTCCCTGTGAGCCCAGAAAGACGTACCTTTGAGCCTAGAGAGACGTCCCTGTGAGCCCAGAGAGACGATGGTTGGTGTTGGACGATGGTTGTTGTTGGACGGTGGTTGGTGTTGGACGGTGGTTGTTGGACGGTTGTTGTTGTTGAACGGTGGTTGGTGTTGGACGATGGTTGTTGTTGGACGGTGGTTGGTGTTGGACGGTGGTTGTTGGACGGTGGTTGTTGTTGGACGGTGGTTGGTGTTGGACGGTGGTTGTTTGACGGTTGTTGTTGTTGTTGGACGGTTGTTGTTGGATGGTGGTTGGTGTTGGACAATGGTTGTTGTTGGACGGTTGTTGTTGTTGAACGGTGTTTGTTGTTGGACGGTGGTTGTTGGACAGCTGTTGTTGGACGGTGGTTGGTGTTGGACGGTTGTTGGTGTTGGACGGTTGTTGTTGTTGGACGGTTGTTGTTGGACGGTGGTTGTTGTTGGACGGTTGTTGTTGGATGGTGGTTGTTGTTGGACGGTGGTTGTTGTTGTATGGTCGTTGTTGGACGTTGGACGGTGATATAACATCAGCCTGCCCAGTGACTACAGGTGGAAATTAGCTCATGAGCTATAACCTGATACCTCCTTTTGAGGTTAATGTTTATTGTGCACTGTCCTTGTCATCTTAAATAAACTAAACTAAACGGTGGTTGTTGTTGGACGGTGGTTGTTGGACGGTGCTTGTTGTTGGATGGTTGTTGTTGGACGGTGGTTGTTGTTGGATGGTTGTTGTTGGATGGTGGTTGTTGGACGATGGTTGTTGTTGGATGGTTGTTGTTGTTGGATGGTTGATGTTGGACGGTGGTTGTTGTTGGACGGTGGTTGTTGTTGGACGATGGTTGTTGTTGTACGGTGGTTGTTGTTGGATGGTGGTTGTTGGACGGTGGTTGTTGTTTGACGGTGGTTGTTGGACGGTGGTGGTTGTTGAATGTTGGTTGTTGGACGGTGGTTGTTGTTGGATGGTGGTGGTTGTTGGATGGTGGTTGTTGGACTGTGGTTGTTGTTGGATGGTGGTTGTTGGACGGTGGTTGTTGTTGGACGGTGGTTGTTGGACAGTGGTTGGTGTTGGATGGTGGTTGTTGTTGGATGGTTGTTGTTGGATGGTGGTTGTTGGACGATGGTTGTTGTTGGATGGTTGTTGTTGGACGATGGTTGTTGTTGGACGGTGGTTGTTGTTGGACGGTGGTTGTTGTTAGACGGTGGTTGTTGGACGGTGGTTGTTGGACGGTGGTTGTTGGACGGTGGTTGTTGTTGGATGGTTGTTGTTGGACGATGGTTGTTGTTGGACGGGGGTTGTTGTTGGACGGTGGTTGTTGGACGGTGGTTGTTGTTGGACGGTGGTTGTTGTTGGACGGTGGTTGGTGTTGGACGATGTTTGTTGTTGGACGGTGGTTGTTGGACGGTGGTTGTTGTTGGACGGTGGTTGTTGTTGGACGGTGGTTGTTGTTTGACGTTGGTTGTTGTTGGATGGTTGTTGTTGGATGGTTGTTGTTGGATGGTTGTTGTTGGATGGTGGTTGTTGGACGGTGGTTGTTGGACAGTGGTTGGTGTTGGATGGTGGTTGTTGTTGGATGGTGGTTGTTGTTGGATGGTTGTTGTTGGATGGTCGTTGTTGTTGGATGGTTGTTGTTGGACGATGGTTGTTGTTGGATGGTTTTTGTTGGACGGTGGTTGTTGTTGGACGGTGGTTGTTGGACGGTGGTTGTTGTTGGACGTGGTTGTTGTTGGACGGTGGTTGTTGTTGGACGATGGTTGTTGTTGGACGGTGGTTGTTGTTGGACGGTGGTTGTTGTTGGACGGTGGTTGTTGTTGGATGGTTGTTGTTGGACGATGGTTGTTGTTGGACGATGGTTGTTGTTGGACGGTGGTTGTTATTGGACGGTGGTTGTTATTGGACGGTGGTTGTTATTGGACGGTGGTTGTTGTTGGATGGTGGTTGTTGTTGGACGGTGGCTGGTGTTGGACGATGGTTGTTGTTGGACGGTGGTTGTTGTTGGATGGTTGTTGTTGGATGGTGGTTGTTGGACGGTGGTTGTTGTTGGATGGTGGTTGTTGTTGGATGGTGGTTGTTGTTGGATGGTGGTTGTTGTTGGACGGTGGTTGTTGGACGGTGGTTGTTGTTGGATGGTGGTTGTTGTTGGACGGTGGTTGTTGGACGGTGGTTGTTGTTGGATGGTTGTTGTTGGACAGTGGTTGGTTTTGGACGATGGTTGTTGTTGGACGGTGGTTGTTGTTGGACGGTGGTTGTTGTTGGACGGTGGTTGTTGTTGGATGGTGGTTGTTGGATGGTGGTTGTTGTTGGATGGTTGTTGTTGGACGGTGGTTGTTGTTGGATGGTGGTTGTTGGACGGTGGTTGTTGTTGGACGGTGGTTGTTGTTGGACGATGGTTGTTGTTGTACGGTGGTTGTTGTTGGATGGTGGTTGTTGGACGGTGGTTGTTGTTGGACGGTGGTTGTTGGACGGTGGTGGTTGTTGAATGTTGGTTGTTGGACGTGGTTGTTGTTGGATGGTGGTGGTTGTTGGATGGTGGTTGTTGGACTGTGGTTGTTGTTGGATGGTGGTTGTTGGACGGTGGTTGTTGTTGGACGGTGGTTGTTGGACAGTGGTTGGTGTTGGATGGTGGTTGTTGTTGGATGGTTGTTGTTGGATGGTGGTTGTTGGACGATGGTTGTTGTTGGATGGTTGTTGTTGGACGATGGTTGTTGTTGGACGGTGGTTGTTGTTGGACGGTGGTTGTTGTTAGACGGTGGTTGTTGGACGGTGGTTGTTGGACGGTGGTTGTTGTTGGATGGTTGTTGTTGGACGATGGTTGTTGTTGGACGGGGGTTGTTGTTGGACGGTGGTTGTTGGACGGTGGTTGTTGTTGGACGGTGGTTGTTGTTGGACGGTGGTTGGTGTTGGACGATGTTTGTTGTTGGACGGCTGTTGTTGGACGGTGGTTGTTGTTGGACGGTGGTTGTTGTTGGACGGTGGTTGTTGTTTGACGTTGGTTGTTGTTCGATGGTTGTTGTTGGATGGTTGTTGTTGGATGGTTGTTGTTGGATGGTGGTTGTTGGACGGTGGTTGTTGGACAGTGGTTGGTGTTGGATGGTGGTTGTTGTTGGATGGTGGTTGTTGTTGGATGGTTGTTGTTGGATGGTCGTTGTTGTTGTTGGACGATGGTTGTTGTTGGATGGTTTTTGTTGGACGGTGGTTGTTGGACGGTGGTTGTTGTTGGACGTGGTTGTTGTTGGACGGTGGTTGTTGTTGGACGATGGTTGTTGTTGGACGGTGGTTGTTGTTGGACGGTGGTTGTTGTTGGATGGTTGTTGTTGGACGATGGTTGTTGTTGGACGATGGTTGTTGTTGGACGGTGGTTGTTATTGGACGGTGGTTGTTATTGGACGGTGGTTGTTATTGGACGGTGGTTGTTGTTGGATGGTGGTTGTTGTTGGACGGTGGCTGGTGTTGGACGATGGTTGTTGTTGGACGGTGGTTGTTGTTGGATGGTTGTTGTTGGATGGTGGTTGTTGGACGGTGGTTGTTGTTGGATGGTGGTTGTTGTTGGACGGTGGTTGTTGGACGGTGGTTGTTGTTGGATGGTGGTTGTTGTTGGACGGTGGTTGTTGGACGGTGGTTGTTGTTGGATGGTTGTTGTTGGACAGTGGTTGGTTTTGGACGATGGTTGTTGTTGGACGGTGGTTGTTGTTGGACGGTGGTTGTTGTTGGACGGTGGTTGTTGTTGGATGGTGGTTGTTGGATGGTGGTTGTTGTTGGATGGTTGTTGTTGGACGGTGGTTGTTGTTGGATGGTGGTTGTTGGACGGTGGTTGTTGTTGGATGGTTGTTGTTGGATGGTGGTTGTTGTTGGATGGTGGTTGTTGTTGGAGGGTAGTTGTTGTTGGATGGTGGTTGTTGGACGGTGGTTGTTGTTGAATGGTTGTTGTTGGACGGTGGTTGTTGTTGGATGGTGGTTGTTGGACGGTGGTTGTTGTTGGATGGTTGTTGTTGGATGGTGGTTGTTGTTGGATGGTGGTTGTTGTTGGACGGTGGTTGTTGGACGGTGGTTGTTGGACGGTGGTTGTTGTTGGATGGTTGTTGTTGGACGATGGTTGTTGTTGGATGGTGGTTGTTGTTGGACGGTGGTTGTTGGAGGGTGGTTGTTGTTGGATGGTGGTTGTTGGATGGTGGTTGTTGTTGGATGGTTGTTGTTGGAGGGTGGTTGTTGTTGGATGGTTGTTGTTGGACGATGGTTGTTGTTGGACGGTGGTTGTTGTTGGATGGTGGTTGTTGATGGATGGTTGTTGTTGTTGGATGGTGGTTGTTGTTGGACGGTGGTTGTTGGACGGTTGTTGTTGGACGGTTGTTGTTGGATGGTTGTTGTTGGATGGTTGTCGTTGGATGGTGGTTGTTGGACGGTGGTTGTTGTTGGATGGTGGTTGTTGTTGGATGGTGGTTGTTGTTGGATGGTTGTTGTTGGATGGTTGTCGTTGGATGGTGGTTGTTGGACGGTGGTTGTTGTTGGATGGTGGTTGTTGTTGGATGGTGGTTGTTGTTGGACGGTGGTTGTTGGACGGTGGTTGTTGTTGGATGGTGGTTGTTGTTGGACGGTGGTTGTTGGACGGTGGTTGTTGTTGGATGGTGGTTGTTGGACAGTGGTTGGTTTTGGACGATGGTTGTTGTTGGACGGTGGTTGTTGTTGGACGGTGGTTGTTGTTGGACGGTGGTTGTTGTTGGACGGTGGTTGTTGTGGACGGTGGTTGTTGTTGGATGGTGGTTGTTGGACGGTGGTTGTTGTTGGATGGTTGTTGGATGGTTGTTGTTGGATGGTTGTTGTTGGACGGTGGTTGGTGTTGGACGATGGTTGTTGTTGGACGGTGGTTGTTGTTGGACGGTGGTTGTTGTTGGATGGTGGTTATTGGACGGTGGTTGTTGTTGGATGGTGGTTATTGGACGGTGGTTGTTTTTGGGCGGTGGTTGTTGTTGGACGATGGTTGTTGTTGGACGATGGTTGTTGTTGGACGATGGTTGTTGTTGGACGGTGGTTGTTGTTGGACGTTGGTTGTTGTTGGATGGTTGTTGTTGGATGGTTGTTGTTGGACGGTGGTTGTTGTTGGATGGTGGTTGTTGTTGGACGGTGGTTGTTGGACGGTGGTTGTTGTTGGACGTGGTTGTTGTTGGACGGTGGTTGTTGTTGGACGATGGTTGTTGTTGGACGGTGGTTGTTGTTGGACGGTGGTTGTTGTTGGATGGTTGTTGTTGGACGATGGTTGTTGTTGGACGATGGTTGTTGTTGGACGGTGGTTGTTATTGGACGGTGGTTGTTATTGGACGGTGGTTGTTATTGGACGGTGGTTGTTGTTGGATGGTGGTTGTTGTTGGACGGTGGCTGGTGTTGGACGATGGTTGTTGTTGGACGGTGGTTGTTGTTGGATGGTTGTTGTTGGATGGTGGTTGTTGTTGGGTGGTTGTTGTTGGATGGTTGTTGTTGGACGATGGTTGTTGTTGGACGGTGGTTGTTGTTGGATGGTGGTTGTTGATGGATGGTTGTTGTTGTTGGATGGTGGTTGTTGTTGGACGGTGGTTGTTGGACGGTTGTTGTTGGACGGTTGTTGTTGGATGGTTGTTGTTGGATGGTTGTCGTTGGATGGTGGTTGTTGGACGGTGGTTGTTGGACGGTGGTTGTTGTTGGATGGTGGTTGTTGGAGGGTGGTTGTTGTTGGATGGTTGTTGTTGGATGGTTGTTGTTGGACGATGGTTGTTGTTGGACGGTGGTCGTTGTTGTTGGGTGTTTGTTGATGGATGGTTGTTGTTGTTGGATGGTGGTTGTTGTTGGATGGTGGTTGTTGGACGGTTGTTGTTGGACGGTGGTTGGTGTTGGACGATGGTTGTTGTTGGACAGTGGTTGTTGTTTGACGGTGGTTGTTGTTGGAGGGTGGTTGTTGTTGGATGGTTGTTGTTGGACGATGGTTGTTGTTGGA